AATAGTCCGTTGTTACCGTTTGAACTAACGTAGCAACGGCAGGAACTGCTTCGATAGCGTTTTTGAGGAGCTTTTTGATTACAGATTTGAAAACATCCCTGCTTGCTTTAAAAGTAGCACAATTCATGATGTCAAACCTTGGGAAGTATCTAGATATCCCTGCCCTAATGCCAAAGTAACTGGCAACTGAATATGTGTCGCCGTTTGATGTCTATGTTTGGACCGCTGCGTAAAAGGAGAGTTTTTGCCCGTTACTTCTCCGCTGTTTTCTTGTCGCTCTTGTCTTGTCAGTTAGAAAAGCTTTTCGGCCAAACTGTCAATAAGTGCTTGACAGCGGTCTGTCTGTTCGGTATTAACAACGTGTCACGTGTTCTGAATTGACCAATCAGAATCGAGTATTCAACTAAGCCACGTAATAAAGCCAATGCACACAATGCCATGTTTTTATTACTGCACATGTTCTATTCAATTCTATTTCTAGGATTGCACCATATTCAATGTAAATACTGCTATTTGTATACAAGTTTTGTATATTTTGTAATGTTATTATAGTTTTCTTCAAATAGGTTTGTGTTTTTAATCTTTGTCTTATTTTATGAATACACCACGACATCAAGTAGAATTCCTCGTATGTGTCAAATGAATCTGATTCTGATTCTGATCAGTCCTGAGAGAAAAGTTTTAGGTGAGAAATCCGCAAAAAAAGAGCTGAAAAAGGCTTTAAAAAAAAGACAAACTGGAGGAGATATGCCGGGGGATGTTTCTCTGCTTTCCTCACACATGTTGGATAGGGACCTCAGCCTCATGTTGAATACAAAGCAATACAAAACCTGCTGTTGCTACTGACAATAAATATGTGATTTATCCTAAATAAACCATCGAGGTCGGACAGCTAGCCTGCAGACCTTCTCTGCTCATTAATGAATGAATGTGAAGTATTGTCAGATTTCTCTTTAAATATATATATTCAGTGGAAATCCTTCCTTGCAATTAAAGCTTTCCATGCACGAGTTGCTGAAGCTAAGACATTATTTCTGCTTCTTCATCTCTAAACTGGCCTTGAGAGAAAAATCTGGTATCCACAGGTCGTCGCCTCGAGAAAAAATCAATAAACCTCAACTTTAATTTCACTGTCGGAGAGCAGGGACATCTTCCTATACAACATGAGTAATACCAGCTCTAAATATGTGATACTTTGTGCTTCTCACGGCTGAAATAACAATCTATCACTAAGGCAACATGCAGAGATGGTGTCCATGAAGACGGTGCTTTATCAAACGCTCCCGCTGAGCTGAAGCAGACATAAATAAACCCTGCAGGAAAACCTGAAGTAAGCACTATCTTTAATGCTCTGTTATTCTGTTATGAACCCCATCCATTAGTGTCTGCTCCTGTCATCAGTATTCAGAACACGATGTGGATGTGTGGTGATATTTAAGGCATGCAAAGGGTCTGAACTGAGGGTGGTGACATGTTATTAATACTTAACTGGTTCCACTTCTCCTTAAGTGGCCACACAATCAATACACTCTGCTTATTCTACAACCCTGAAACACATGTTTGCCCACCATACAGTTACTGATACAGTTTTATTATTGGATTTATATTATTATAAGAAGTGATGCACGCAGCTGGGACTGGCCTACGGTCAATTGACTTAAAAATGGTTCTCTGTTTTAATGTTTAACCGAGCCTTATCTTTGCACTTTTAGCTGCAGCCAGTATTTTATAGCTTTTATGAATTGTCTTTTTGTTTGTTTGTTTTGTTTTTAATTATTATGTGTTAAATGCCTGTGAAGCACTTTGAATTGCCTCTGTGTCTATAGAATAAACTAACCTACTGTATGTTTCCAAAACTCCTCATAAGCAGAATTAAATTCAGTTTTATAAAAGAGAAGAGCACATACTTGTATCCCTCTACAGTTGAGTATTATCTCCCATAACTCAGCTACTCACTCTTCTCTGCAGCTGAGCTCATTTACATTAATCCACCATGATCTCCCATGAGTGCTTTTTAACGATAAAATCTCTTCACAGGAGTCAGTATCTGATTTTGGGTCTAGAGCAGATTTAAAGTAATCCCATCTGTTAGTGTGTTCCTCTGTTATCAGTATTCAGGACAGGTCTGTGGATGTCTGTTTATGTGTGGTGATATTTAAAAACGCCACAGTGTGAACTCTGTGTGGCGACTTGTTGTTATTAATATAATATCAGCAGTACCAGGAGCAGTCACACAGCTGGGAGAGAAGGACAGGTCATCGACGGCCAGAAACTCAGAGGATTGACTGTCAGGAGGAAGAGACCCTCGAATCAACACCTGGGGATAAACAGAGAACATTCAAGAAGTCACTTTTTAGTTCCTTTACGGCCCGTCCACACAGCGGCGTGCGTTGACGCTTCACCATTCACTTTGAATGGGGTGACGTCGCTTTTTGCCGAACTGCATTTTGGGAAGCGACGCGACGCGTTGCTGGCGTTGCTCGCTTCAAAAGTTCAGCAATGTTCAACTTTTGGCGCCTCGGCAGAAGCGTCAGCCAATGAAATCCCGTTTATTCAAATCTGACAGTACAAGCACTAGCCAATCAAACCGCGTGTATGCTGGGAGAGACTACGCAGTTCATTTCCTCATATTCCAAAAAATTTAGGAAAAATTCATTATAGCGGTAGTGAATCACCCGGTGCTGTATGATCAGTCTCTGTTCATCTACCGGGATACAAACCGGAGGAGCCAGGCATGGAGGGAGGGGGCAGAGACAGTTGGTGAAACTGGTAGGTTTTCGCCTGTTTGGGGAGTTTATATCCAGTTTACTTCGTTTTAACATTGCTATTGCTTTGTATGTCGGGAGCGGGAGATTCATGTGATTGGTTGTTGGTCGCGTTGCTCGCAAAAAATCCCCAAGCTTCAGATACGCCCACCGCCAAGCGTCAAGGCACGCCGCTGTGTGGACGGGTCGTAAGACTGCGATATAATGTTTATGTAGCAATAATACATATGACATACGTTTTAAATGCCTCCAGTACCGATAAAAAGACAGATAACGTTGGAGCTTAACTGTGCGTAAAACACACGTGATGACGTCACCAACGAATCGACGACTGAATTAGTTGGCAACTAATTTGGTCATCGATTTGAATCGATTAAGTTGATTAGTTGTTGCACCCCTAGTTGTGGCAAAGCTTTTGTTGTGCTTTGTTTAATGGCTTTTTCTCGCTCTGTGTTAATGCGGACTGCTTACCTGTACAGTGTGACACCCGCCTCCCTCTCCAGCTGGGACCACAGCTTGTAGCACTCATCCATCATTTGGGTGTAGAAGTCCTGCTCGTAGGCCTTGCGGATGATGCGGGTTTGGCCATGGGAGCTTCCTCGTGTGTGGGGCAGGACAAACTGGAAAATATGATCAAAAGATCACATATTTAAGTAACTTTGATTTGGAAATAACACACCAGATGGTCAAAACCACCAGAGAGCAATAATCCAAAAGTCCAGTTAATGAACTTAAAGAGCATCTTGCAGGTTTTTATTTATTCTACATTTATGCTTAAACTTGCTTG